TGTGTGTGTGTGTGTGTGAGAGAGAGAGAGAGGAAGAGAGTTAGACATGTCATTAGGGAAATTGTTTCTCCAGTGTGAGTCGAACGTCTCGGTGCAGCAGTGTCACTCCAGAGAAGGTCATCCATGAGAAGGACACAACTGGATACACTCAGCTCACTATCGGGCATAATGGGAAAAGGGAGGGAGGGATGTTATGAAGTTTGTGTGTGTGTGGTTGTTTGCGTATGCGTGTGTGTCTTTGCAAGGCCTGGAGCCAAACTAGCAGGGGACGTTTTTAGTCATTTGACCCGCCTGACCTCAAAGTGTCATAAGTGAGCACAGATAGGGATGAGGCCATGTTATTGCATGGGCCAATCTTAGCCCGAGACATTACCATGACAGGACTTGCAACCATGACTCTTTGCTTTCACTCAAGGGGAGGGATGAAGGAGGTTTGGAAATAAAGGACATTTCCAGTGTTTCCATGGCCAAGGAACAGAGGCAGCAGATAAGCCTGGACGAGTATGCCGGTGTAGATCGGATCGGATGCAGTGATTTGGTAAATACTGTGCAGTTGCTGTATCAATACTCCTAAAGGCTGAGCTCTGCTCCAACCCTTTCTCCCTCTTTTTCTCCCCCTCCCGTTCTTTCTATTTGCCTATTTTTCTCAGTATTTCTCATTGCAGCACTGTATTTGATGAACTGACAGAAAACTGCAGACGCTGACCTCAACAATCTATGGATGAGTGCTCACCAATAGTCATATTTGTATTTTAAAATAGGGGATACTGCTGAGTTTGCAACACTCGGCTGCCATTCGTAAACCCTGTCATGCCCAGTGGCAGGTTAATAACCCATAAGATGAACTGTAAAAAAAACATAAGCAATATATTCAGGTCAGATCCTGGTAGTAAAAGGGTTTTCTACCATATATACATATATACAAAATTATTGACTTTTTTTTGTATTCCTGAAAAGTTAATAATTTCAATACGCAGCAGCATTTGCAAAACAAGCACGTCTGTGCACATTTCAAACAGGAAACAGTGTTCCTCTGCAGATTAGAAAAGCAAATGGATTGCCTCCCGTATAATGGTAACAGAAAAGTAATTCAGAGAATGAAACTGTTTACAATTATGTTAATCAAGTGAGAAGTATAATTCAGGTAGTTAATCTGTTGCAGGGGTTTCATTTGGGCAGTGATTCATATTGATAAAAACCTTCCCTTCGCTCAGCTCAAAGCCAGTTGTTACCTCAGAGAACTGCACACAAAGCTGAAAACACAAGTTCTGAAATGTTGAAAATTGAATAATGAAGCGAGTGCTATTCAGTACAGGCCCTGGGGTAAAATTATAGAGCTTGCTACTGTTTAGACGGAAAAGAGCTACAATTCGCTGTGCTCGGTGCAGATTATTAGCGCATAGCGTCAGCACATGAGCAGAATACATGTCCCGTAGATATCCCTTAGGAAGTAAGTTCAATGGTTTACTCGTACCCCTTTAGCTTCAAGCAAAACAGATGAGTGCTCTTGTTATCAGGACACAAACACAATTCAGCCGAAGCATCCTGTCACTCTCCCAGTAACAAGATAAATGCTTGTTACCCTCTTAAAGCGCTAAGATAAAACAACCCGGCTGGTATCCATGTTCGAACACCTCTCATTTGGGCTTGCTGAAAACGCTGCTGCGAACAGACACCGCAATCACAGCCTCGCTGAAAATACATGCAGGTCTGGAGTTCACAAATCTCCAGGGAGTCATGTTTAATTCATGAGAGAACCTAAAATGAGTCAGAAAGCAAGACCTCACAAACCCTTTTAATGTATTCAGTGAGGTTTTTCAGAGGCTTTGTGTCCCCGCGCCTCTGCTGTCCGTCTGTCCGTAATTTCCCTACTCAGATGCCTGTCACGTCACTCTGCCCTTTGCTTTGGGCCATCAATGTCAACACTACATTCCTGTGTGGATCTGATTTGTGACGTGATCCTCTCACTTTCTTCATGCTCGCTTTTGCATTTCCCAGCTCGACTTGTCAGCGTGCAAACAGAGTAACATCAAAGACAGATGACAAAGAAATGTCAAATGATGTTAAGGTCAGGAACAGGCAAGAAAAGTCATTTACCTATGTTCCTTTGCTTGGTTGCTTACAAGGTCCTTTGTATACCTTGTTCTTTTAGTAAATTAAAAGTTGTTGATTTTCAAATGACACCCAGGGGCTCTATAACTTAATTGCCTCTTGTGGAGCTCCAAAGGTGTTGTACGATTGCTGCTAAAATTAGGGCTTTATCTGAGTTCCCCTCCAACATACTCACACCCCCCACCCACTCATTGCAGTGGCTGTTATTAAATCCCACATCATCCAGGAGACATTAAAAGTGTTGCATTTCTACTTCTCCTGTCACGCTGGACCTGAAATAACAGATGTTTAAAAATACCTGTTTTGCCATACAACTCAGAAGCAGAGAAAAACTCTTTTTGTAAATCACATCACACAAAGAGTAGATTGTCAGCACATCACCTAGTCGCTCCAGTGGAGCTAAAAACAACCACAAAGATAATATGTACACTCATTTTATATTAGTCTAAATGTAAAGAAGGAGCGACTGGACTTTCTGTCACAGTGTTTATTTCTCTGTCTACTTAAAGCATCATTGCCTCTGATCTGAAGATTGGTGTGGTTATGGTGGAGCAGCATGTGAGCAGTGTGTTTGTATAAACAGTAGAGTTGTGTTTGTGTACGCATCGCGTGTGGGCACATCTTTTCATTAGTCATTTATGGCACAACTGGCGATGCTGGCAATGACGAGCCTGCTCTTTGGGAAAATGACTCTATTAAAAACACTGCAGCTGAGCCTGCCTTATTGTACAGGCAAACTAGCGAACAGTGGACAATGGCTCATCTCCCATGAGGTGTTAACAGCTAATCCTCTCTCACATCTTCAAGCAGTAAAGTGCTGCACTGGTGATACTATAATAATAAACATAATGCTAAAGATTACTTTGTTAATATAGCACCATTCATACCAGGGTTACAAAGTTCTTCACAAATAATAATAATAAAACAGCACATATGACGGCTGTGGCTCAGTCAATAGTGTGCTAGACTTCAAATCAGGGGGTAGCAAGTTCGAGTCCCACTGCAGTCAGCATGTCGTTGTGTCCATGGGCAAGACATTTCTCCTGTGGGGATTGTCCACAGTACTGAATGTATGTAAGTCGCTTTGGATAAAAGCGTCTAACAACAAATGACATGTAATGTAACATATACTCACCAAATGGATTGTCTCTCTTATGGCTTATCATTAGTGTGCTGTTGACTACACTTTATAAACAGTTGTGCCAAATGGAAATAGCTTTACTGGCTTTTTTAATGTTTTTTTACATATTTTTCATTTGATTATAAACTGTAACTATGAAAATATATAAATCATTCTTTAGTTGTGACAAAAAAACAAGTTATACATTGTCAAATGATCAGTCTACAGAACTAATAGCTGTGAGGCTACGCTTAAGAACAATTATGCTTTGACTTAACCACTAACATTAGCAAGCTAGCATCCTCACAATGGCAAAACTAGCATGTTGATGTTTAGCAGGTACAATGTTTACCATGTTCACCGTCTTTGTTGGTAACAATTAGGGTTTTAACTAGAGTAGCACTAAACACAAAGTACAGATGAGGCTGATGGTTTTGTTATTTAATGGGCATTACACGTGTTGGACAAACATAATTGTTTAGCTGTTAATGGAACAAGATGAAATATCAAGGGATCAAGGTTCTTACAAATAATCATCAGGGGACCTTGAAGGACCTTTGCAGTATATTTCAGTCCGTGCCACAAATGTCACCCTAATGATGAATCAATCCAGAGTAAACGTGAGATGGATCATAGAAGTCAGAAGGGGTCATCCTCTCAAAGCCGTGAATGCTTGTACAAAGGTTTATGACAGTTCATGTTAAAGTTGTCTTGATGTTTCAGTCTGGAGAAACTGCAAGACCAACAGACCAGCCAAAACGCTGCTAGCTTTGTTAAATGTTTTATTATCAACTTGATAAGAAGCTGAATTATGTCTTTTATTAATTATTGTTTTTTATAGTCATGACACAATTACTGTTGTGGGAGAATTGAACCAGTTTCACTGAAAGTAAAGTAAAAAAGTCACTGAAAGTAAAAGTCTGAATTGTTGAATTAATGACATCAATGGATGGAAATACAACACACTATGTCGAGAATATGGATAATATCCTGTATCGAAGTACTAGTTATAATTGAACTGATATAGGTTCTGGAAAGGAAATTGTGTGGATTTTATATTATATACAAAATACAAAAGAATAATGTAAATGTTTGAATTCCTCAAAATGTAAATCTTTCACTGAGCAGAGGCTTGGGAATTGTCCATTTATTTTATTTCAAAAATATTATTAGTAGCTTTCTACTTCCCCTGTTGTAACTTTACTGTACATAACTTTACATGACTATTAATACAAAATATGACAACAAATACAAAATGTAAAACCTTTCTTTATTGACTTTTTCAATACTAATAGTTGAAAGTGCTCTTCTATGGGCTCCTTTGCGTTCTAATTACAGTACACTTGCTTGCAAATATTGACACATTGAAAAAGTCAATCGATTTAAATGACAGGTAGAAAATAATATGCCTGAAAGGGTTGCACTTCATCAACACAACATTGTTGTGCATTGTCCCTCTTCAAATAAACGATTAAATGAAATGAAATGTTAGTGAGACATAATGTATGTGATTTTCAAAGAGGAGGTATAATCCAATAGCTAAGTGTTGGAAGGCTGAAAGGTCAAATGGATACAGCGTTTTTAAGTGCTCTGAGGGCAGGCTTTGACCTTTTTTATTTAGTGTATTGATTCATTGTAATGTTGTTGATGAAATAATTTAGGCTTATTGTGCTGCTGCAAATTCCAACAAAATAAACACAAGGTCTTCAGACTGGTTTTGTTAAGAGCCCGAAATAATTTGTCTATCGTACGTGTTCATGTCTTACAGGTGTTGAGCTTCAGCTGAGGATGTCAGGAGGTTCTCGAGTCCTCATGGACCACAACATGGAGATAGGAGTAACACCTGCGCAGGTATAATGCACACTCACTACATGGTCAAACACTGTACTGATCCCAACGGTCTCACCACAGCGGGTAGAGAGAGTGTGAGAGATGAGAGAAGTGATGTGAGCACATAGAGGAAAAAAAGGATTGGAGAATATATAGAGAGATGGGAATTATCAGTAGAGACAGATGGATGTGTGTAAGTAAGGAAAACAGACTGGCTTCCATAGACAAAAGGAAGGATAAAAAGGCTGTTTAACATAAAGTAGATATCCAGTATACAGTACTTATTTTAAAGATTAAAGGTGGGGTAGGTCATTTTGGAGAAACCAGCTTGAGTGCGCTAGAATTTGAAAATACACAACCAGAAAAAATCTGCCACTTCCTTACAGAGCCCCTCCTCCAACACACACAAACGCGCACATGACCAATGAGGGCACGAGATAAGTTTGTGCACAGATGGAAGGCTGACAGGCAGGTAGGCCATCCAGTTATTTTAGCCGGGCCGGCTAAAATGATTGGTCGTGCTTTTTACAGTACTACGGCTTCCACAGATGACTTTTTGTTATGGATTTTTTGTCAAAGCACTTAAGATATTCATTGCTATCAGGATGTTAAGAGCATTCCATGGAATATAACAAAAAGCGTATCTCGAGTGTATATCTTCTCAAACTTACCTACCCCACCTTTAAGTAAGCAAACAGATAAAAGATCAAGCCTCTTAATGTATTACCAAACCTGTTTCTTTAGCTCACCTAAATATAGAGCACAGTTTACTTGGAGGATAGGAGGAAAAGACACCCCACTCACTCCCATTAACAGATGGTGGAGTTGCACTGGTTATCTGTCCTGATTCCCCAGCTGATTGCAACTAACGCTGTCTACCCAAGCGCAGCTAGAAAGGCTCAATGGCAGACAACACCCACCACTTACTTCTGCCATGCAGGATGAACTAATGAATTTGTTTATTGACCATCCCCCCCAGACACCATATTGACTACAAAGGCCAAAGATTGGTCGCCAGTGCAGGTGACAGCTTCATCCATCACACAATTAGCCACATCCTAAAGTGTAGAAATTAATGGGCCTCCTTAAGTGGTCTTTCATTTAAAAGCAGTGAAGTAGAGAATAACAACAATTTGAAAAAACAGTAATTACGTACATTAACTGATGAAAAATGGTGGCCTGATTGGGTTCTAAATCTATATTTGGTCCAATATCCCTAAACGCAGTTGGTAATAAGTGCACTGGTTGAAATTTGGTAAATGCATCGTCATCCAGAGACTAATTGCGATGCCGGTCAATAGGCATTGTCTTTCAATTCTTCTTTGTCAAAATGTTCCACCAACTGGGATCACTTTAAATCAATACCTGACAACTCAATACTGCACACTTAGGCCTGACTGGTGGTGCGTGTAGACAGGAGAGCAGTGAAACAACACCTAACATCTCCCAAAAAAACATCCTTGAAAAAGCTGTAGGACAGGTTTTATTATCCATGCTCTGCAATCGAAGGGACTGCAAGGATACCGTAGTGCTTTATGTCCTTCCCAGGATGAACTGTGACAGTGATCGTTCTGATAGAGCTGTCAGTGTAACAGCAATAAGACAGCTTTTTTCTGGTGATGTGGGCATGACTCTAGAGAGATATGAATCCCAGGTGTCGTCTTAAAAGTGTGGGATTCAGAGGGCACATGAGCTGGTTTCTTGCCTCCACACAAAGCATTTCAATTATCAGCTCAGATTGGAAGGTGTCAGTGTGCTGCCAACATGTCCTCGGTCTGTTCAAAATGTGCATTGAAACTTTGCTCCCTATATTTATTTGTCTGTTAAAGGCTTTTATCAGAATGAAAGCAAAAGCGATGCAAGACTACATTGTCGGGCTGTGTGGCAGTCATTGATTTTCAAAACCCATCAACATACAACATCAGAATACTGCCTGTATGTGCATGAAAGCAGATTTCTAGATTGAGTTCAATGTGATTGCCCAGGCATATGCCACTCTTTTTGATGATGCCATAAGGGGCTGTTGGGGAAGGATGGAGGATCTGTTCCTATCCAGGCTTGCCAATGTCCCATAGGGTGTGAGGGGAGGGAACACAGGGGACGAGGAGTGAGACAGGGCACAGCTGTGGAGCCAGATCGCGTCACTGGAGCTGGGCCAACATAGACAAAGACCTGGATGTCCTTGTGTTCCTGTTGTACCCTTACTCTCCTTTTCTCCCGCTGCATACAGTGACACCTACAATGTCATTGAGGAGTATTCATGTCGCAGTTACTTTATAGCAGCTCTTAATTTTATTTGCCATCCTGCAAGCAGCACGGAAAAGTGTGGTTTTGCAAAGGCTGGAAGAAAATCTCATTAAATAGGTTAACACTGACATCCTCCAGCACAAACTCAATATAGCCTTAGAGAAAATATTAATGAAAAGAAATCAAAGTGGGTACTGTAAAGCACACCCATGTGGAGAAAACCTTAAATTGCTACAGCGGCCTTCACTCCCTCTTTTGTTGTGTCTCTTCGTGCATGCTTTCTTTCACTTGCCTTCTTCCCCTCACTTGCCTGTCTTTCTGTTTCTCTTCTAGGTGAAGAAGCTCCCTAAACACATGCGGGATGCTCAGATCTCTACAGAGAGAACACATTTGATTTCTGACCCTGCTAGGAAGCCACGTCAGCGATACGTGCAGAAGGATGGAAAATGCAACGTTCATCACGGAAATGTGCAAGAGACCTACCGATACCTTAGTGACTTGTTCACTACACTGGTGGACCTACGCTGGCGTCTTAGTCTCTTCATTTTCACCTTGGTTTATATAGTCAACTGGCTTTTCTTTGGCTTTCTATGGTGGCTGATAGCGCTTATTCGAGGGGATCTGGTGCATGGTGATGAGGACGACTGGATCCCCTGTGTGGAAAACCTCAACAGTTTTGTCTCAGCCTTCCTCTTCTCCATTGAAACAGAGACCACCATTGGGTATGGTTATCGTGTAATCACAGAAAAATGCCCTGAGGGTATCATACTGCTTTTGGTGCAGGCCATCTTGGGTTCTATTGTTAATGCCATGATGGTGGGCTGCATGTTTGTCAAGATATCACAGCCAAAGAACCGCGCTGAGACCCTCATGTTCTCGCACAAAGCTGTCATATCGGTGCGTGACAATAAGATGTGCCTGATGTTTCGGGTGGGGGACCTGAGGAACTCTCACATCGTGGAGGCATCGATCAGAGCGAAGCTGATCCGCTCGCAGCAGACCAAGGAGGGGGAGTTCATCCCGCTCAACCAGACTGACATCAACATCGGATTTGACACGGGAGACGACCGGCTGTTCCTGGTGTCACCTCTTATCATCTCTCACGAGATCAACGAGAAGAGCCCTTTCTGGGAGATGACACTGGCACAAATGGAAAAGGAGGAGTTTGAGATCGTCGTTATCCTTGAGGGCATGGTGGAGGCCACAGGTATGATGGGGGGATGATAAAGGGAAGACATATGGGGGCAATGGGGAATGGATCAGGGAAAGGGTAGAGAGGGAGTAAGGTTGAATGGGAAGACATATGGAGGATGTGTTAATGGATAGAGCGAGACAGATATTGATGACATGTTTGATACAGGAAGTAAGCTGAGTGGGAGGGATGGTAAGATAGATCAATGGATGGAAAGAGAGAAAGAAGAGGCTCACATGGAGGGGTGGATTGTTCAAAGAGGCGGGGGAGGGCAAGAGGGAGTACCTGTAAGTGCTGCAAATTGCAAAAGATTTTACTAATGTAATGGATGGAAAGACAGGGAAACTAACTACAGGTAATACTCTCAAAATGAGACATAAACCGTAATGCATTCCACTTTGAAGTAACATTTAATGTGGAGTTTATTATTTGAATCATTTCATAACAGTTGGCACATATTTTGACAGAGGTGGCAATTGTTTTTTCCTCACTCCTTCATCTGCAGTCTGTATAATCTTGTCCACACATTTTAAGGTTTATTTTAGGACTATTGAAAGCTTGTCACGCCACACATGCCTTGCCTTTGTACTCACTGCAGAGCCTGAATTTCCACTGTTACTACTTCAAGGTTATGTCTTGTTTATTTTTAAATGTATGAAGTGAAGCAACCCACAATGTTGGTCTATACAGTATGTTTTGAGTAAAAAGGCTGTCCTAAAAATAGTTCCAGGCATTTAGAAGGCAGACATGGCCAGGTGTGTCTGTAAAGTTCCACAAAGCTCCCATTTACCGTCATGAGAGGTAGCTATTAACAATCAAAATGAGATAAAAGCAGATTATAATGTTCAAGTTTTATCCAATGGGATTTTCAAAAACACACAATCTCTGATAGAAGCAAGTGTTTTGCCATGTTTGCAAACCATTGTCATTCTTAATTATAATGATATTGATACAGAAACCCTACAGCATAATGGACCACAGCTAGCTGTTAATGGGCCGTTCTGATGTGTTTACAGCGGGATGTTGGCTAAATGCAGTATTGTTTATATGCCTGAGCTTCATTGTTTACTGACCTTTGTTGAAAGACTAATTACAATCCTCTCATTTGAAATACAATGCATTATACATGTTAGTAATTTGCTTTATTGGTGTTCATCATCCTTTGAGTCAGTAAATGAGACACACTGGTTGTTAAGGTGTGTTTAGTCTTGTGCACACAGTTGATTTTTAAAAGACACGTACAATCCACAGAGCTCTCTAATGCAATCAGGCATGGCTTCGCAAGCATCTGAACATTTATTTTGTATTATTTATTACAGATTTGTTCTTCCTCCTAATCACCAGTAGTCATCATGTTTAATGCTCATGCTGCTGGATACTTGAGTCATTGAAACGCCATTCGCGTCACCAGCGTAGACCATGACCTCATGCATGTCGTCACTGTCCTTGACCGCTAGGAAAAGGACTCACGTGAACATCTCATGCTCCCTTTCCATAATTATCATAATGAGGCATGTGTAACAGGTCTAGCCTAAACCATTCCTCAATCACGGTTGATTTGAAAATGTTTTGCCATGCTTTTACTTATAATTATATACTATATGCGAAGTCAGGATAAAAGAGAAAAAAAAAACATGTTTCTGGTTTGAAGCCTATATAAGTATTTACCATGTCTTTTTAATTGATGTTTAAGGTCCTAAGGTTACTAAACTTCACATTTTTCGGCTGAATACGCACTCACCGCTATTTTTAAAGTGATATGCATGTTTTAACTTATTGTCGGCTAATGTGTTATTTTGACCTGACCCAATAGGATAGCATATTAAGATTTAAAATAATCAGCAGCAATGCCAGGGAGAGATACACTACAAATATAATTAATTTTTTTATACGGAGAATAAATATTAATGGCTCATATCCAGCCAGTAAAAAAAGTAAAAAACTCTAATTGAGTTAGATTCAAATCAGTATCTGATAATGTTCCTGAATTGCTCAGGCTTTATAAACCCTAGAATACAAACTGACTATTAAACACATGTATTTTACCACATCACGAGTGGGATGCTGTCAAAGAATTTGACAGATGAGTGGGAGGTGAAAAGGTTTCATGTATTTTTTTAAAAGCCAGCCGCTTATTTTCTCCGTTGACATCCAGAGTATGGTTTAAGCTAAATTGTGAGTGAGGCTCTGGAAATCACACATAGCATATTCTTTCTCAAGTACTCATTTAGGGATAAAAACCACTGAGATATAATCATAATTAAATATATATAGTAAACTATTTGATTAAACTGGATATAAATCAACCTAACCACCTGAGCCATATTTGTGGTAGTGTGCGTAAAATGTTAGATGTGCATATCATTCTCAGCCCTAATTTATATTCACCGGTGTGTATAACTTTGTACGGAAAATAAATTGAAAATGTCTGCAGGGCTGCCAACTCTTACTGAATTGTGAGACTTACGCACATCTTTCGCAAACGTTCACTTTAAATGTCCTTTATCTCATTATGTTAGACTTATTTCAGTAAGAATCAGACACTGCATGGCTAAAGTGCATAGAATAAATGATACATACATCAAATTGTGCAAAAAATGGGTGCTGGTACAAACAAATTGGTGTATTTCTTTGTAATTGTCCGTTTGGATAAATGTATTTATTTACTACAGAAAGAAAATGCTCAAGGGATACAATGTGCAAAAAGTTACAAAATGTGGCTTTTGGGGAAATATTTTAGTATAAAATGTAATCACTAATCCATCCAAACATTTATCTGTATCACTTAATCCCTCAAATCTGCCATTTATCGCTTCTACCTATTGTTTTCAAAACATTCATAAGAGTGACATTACAAGAATTGGAAAATAATGGGATGAAAAGTGCCGTTTGCTGCCCCGTGGCTCAGTTAATGTTATCATTAAAAAATGAAGTTTTACCTTGAGAAGTGATCCTGTATTTATAAAATTAAAAAGTGATTAGGCCTTTATTAGATGGACATTTTTGTATTTAGTGTTAGAAGAAGCAACCAGACTATTTTCTCTGTTATCAAAGCTGCCTCTGAACATAATTTACAAGCACCGAGGTAACTAATTGCTTTTGGTAGCCCAAGGTTGTTCTAAAAAGTTAGTTGGCTAACAGTATAAAAGCATACTTTCAGCAGAATACTGAAAACAGATTCAAACTTGAATGTCATTGTGTGTCCTCGGTCCTCCCAGACTGTCCTTGTAGTTCATAAACAGATTTCATGTCTCCACAAATCAAACTTGTCATGAGACAATCCATCAGCAGAAACTCGGTTTCCGGTAACTGAATGAATCAAGTTAGAGTTGCTACTGCTTAGGTATTCTATGCTGAGTCAACACAGGAAGCCTTAAGCTACAAAAGGGCATACTACAACTAGTAAAGAGAAAGAAACCAAAACATGGAGAAAATGCTAAACACATTTCCATACAAGTATAACATATAATAGCTTTACTATTAAGCTTAGGTTGTGTTCTGTTTCATATTATGACGTATAGGCATTGCCAGCCCAGTAAAATGCTATAGGTGGATGTTTGTGTGACCATGCAGTAAACCCTTTTGAAGTGCTACGAGGAGCAGCAGCAGTCAACATCTGCATTGACGTCCTGACATTATGATGTGTCAACATTGGTTAAGCAAAGTGTCACAAATAACATTAATGACAGGCTTTTTCCATGTTTATATACCAGTAAGCCAGCATGCACAGTAGCACAACCCCAATACCGACACACCTACATGGAAAGCAGCCATTATTTATGTTTATTCTTTCATATAAACACACGTATTACAGCTCAGAATGTGTGTTGTGAGAAAGTTGTGTTGGTAACAGAAAGTTGACTTGTGCATTTTTTATTCTTAAAACCTAATGCTGATGCTTGTACATGCTTTTCCCAGTGTGTACCATGTGTGTGGTGGCTTACAGGTGTTCTGACATTGAGGCACTTCTAAATGTGCCATGGGATCTGACAACCATACATTCATATTGCAATAAACAAGTGTAGAAAAATCTCCGTGAGCATCAATTCCACCGCCCTCATGTTAGCTTTGCGCGCAGGTTAGTTGCCTGAAGCTTTGTTTATACATGGCGTGCAGGATACCACCATTCAATCCGTGTTTTCCAGGTAGTCGTGCTCCTTTTCACATTATATAATTGTGTAGTTGTTTAGAAGATGGGAACATTGGAGTGGAAGTGTTCTGGGCACAGGTACAGATTTAATGCAACAATTTGTCAAACTTACAGCCTGCCTAATATGTGTTTCTGTTCTCCAGGTCTAGTGGAGAACCACAGTTAAACATAATGAGTTTAGATAGCTTGTATTTCCAAATGACAGAAGTTGAAAGACTACAGGAGAAAAGGCAGGAGCTGCTTTTTGTCTACACAGCAGTTTGGTGTTTACATTTGAAACCTGAATGAAAGCTTCCAGACATAAGTGCATTCACAAACTGCATTTTCAGAAAGTGAAAGCAATAAAATGGCACAAGTACACACAGTCCCAAGTATTCTGTAACTCATTTTAGTACAATGGTTACTGCTCGTATTCCAACCGTCAATTCTTGAAGCACCCTGCAGCACACTCTTTTCAATTGAATGTTAAAAACACCAAATCAGGTATTTTTTTGAAAAGATGCAGGAGGAAAAAACGTAATTCGCTGATCTGGCACCAAGAGCCTGGCAGCACAGGAAAGCGGGACACATTACATTACAATAGTTGGAACCTTTGGGAGTGAAAAATGAAAAGATTGTCTTCAAATATGGATAGTCGGAAATAGTATTCCTAAGAGCTGTATCTGAAAAACGTATTTGTGAGTTTCATATTGGAAGATGTGGGATTGTACTTCTTTTGTAGTGAATGATCTAATCCCTTAGGAAATTATCTAAATGTGGTTCAACATCAAATCAACCTTATTCCCGTGCATTAGCAACATACTGAAGCCATGAATGTGATGACTTTCAGTAACCCTGTTCATTCAACATCTTGGAGTCTGAAGTCAATAGCACTTGGACTATTGGAATGTGGATTAAACCTTGATAAACATGATAAAAATGCATGCTTTTGAATGCTAATAGGACATTATACTAAAAGAGCTTCACAAAGTAGAAGGGTTAAAACCAAGACATCAAACAATGTGCCAACATCCTTAATAAACACTATAGAAAATATATCTCATAGTGACAGAAAGACGCTATATTGTCTTTGATGATCCAGTGACAGAAATAACAAACATTTTATATTACATTACATTATTACATTGCATTTAGCTGACGCTTTTGTCCAAAGCGACTTACAATAAGTACATTCGACCAGGAAGACAAGACCATTTCACAAGTTAAATGTGGAAACTTGGCCACTCATTTCCACAGGGGAAAGCTGAAGAAAAGGTGCAAAAGCCCCTCCTCTCACCGTGACATAGGACACCAAATCAATTTGGCTTCTTACTTACAGTACATCTATTTTAGAGCCCATTAAAGTTTGAAATTATTTGTGATGTAATGCATTTAGAAATAGACAGAGCATTATGTAATTAAGCAGCTGGGTGAGTTACCTATGGTGAGTCAGATGTTTAGAGTTAAAGTGATCCACCACCCAAAACCTGTCTTTCTCACCCCTTTTAAGCATGACAGTTCCTGATTACCTTCATAACTGTGTAGCCAAAGCCAACAACACACAGGGGTGGTCTCGCCAAAGCAGAATGGGAAATTACAATTGTAAGACTACTGAAAGTTACAAAATCGTAGAGATCCTCGTTTCATTCACGTTGGCGGCACCCAAGCAATAGTTTAAAGTGTCTTTATGGATTAGTGGGCAATAGGCTCACTGAAAATGGTCTTACCTCATGTGTTGATAGATAGTGACTCAACAGATTTGTATTTAAGTAAAAATCTTCAAAATAATTAATTTGGGAAGCTAAACGTTTAGTAGTTAATAAGTGTGAGTGTGGACTAGATGCTAGTTTCATGTCGCACATGTAGGCTGTCTCCGTTTGTTCATCACCTTTCTTCTTCTTTTTTTACAATTAAGGCAGGCATTTGTTTAAGCCATGAACGGCAGTGTACAAATGTTTTTCAAATATTCAATTTGCATCTTAATATGGCAATGTTGAATCCCCCAAAAACCTATGCCCTACCGCGAATGTTAATGAGAGTGCCTCTGGTTACCACTAATCGGAAGATTCATACTGTAGTAACAATGGGCTAATTCATGTTTGATTAATTACGTGTTTGGTTCTAACTCTGTTATTGTTTTGTCTTTTTTTTGTACAACAAGCCATACAGTAAGTTGCTTGGCAAGCTTTCTGTAGCTCAGGTGTACCTTTTACATTACGTTTACGTTGCCAGCTCTGGCTAACAAAGGCTTACTGGGACATTTCATGTTATAAGTTTCACCTTTTGCTGCAATAATTGAACAAATGTACCACCTGTACAAACCAAGGTATTTTTACAAATAGACCCTTGTGAATCATGGCAATATCAAGAAATGTACAGTATCATTAACATTACAAGATAATAAGTATTTTCTGTCTACAGAGACTGAATAACCATTAATATTTTACTGATGCTGTCTCTCTTTCTGCTTCTCCTTCCAACTTTTTTCATCTGTGTGTGTGTGTGTTTGTTTGTTTGGTTGTTTGTCCATTCTGATTGTGTCCTTGTGTGCATGTGGACACCTAAACCTATCCATACTTGTGACAGGGATGACATGTCAGGCACGAAGTTCCTACCTGGACACAGAGGTACTTTGGGGCTACCGCTTCACACCGGTGCTCTCCCTGGAGAAGGGCTTCTACGAAGTAGACTACAACAACTTCCACGAAATCTACGAGACCAACACCCCCACCTGCAGCGCTAAGGAGCTAGCTGCTAAGCTTCGGGAGGGGCCACTATTGCCTCAGCTCACGCTCCTCAGCCCTGAGCCCAAAATGCATACTTTTGACACCCTGGACAGCATGTCCGAAGGGGACCCACTCAGCCCGGATGAGGAAAAAGAGGAGAGAGATTCAGGGGGTGACAGAGGAGAGACTAATGGCTCAGCTGCTGCTTTGGAGGATCTGCCACTTGCTGATGGACTGCCTGAGTGATGTGACAGGGCGGCCACATCAGCGAACAAATCCAAGAGAGACTGGGCAAGAGGACAGGACAATATAATGCTTTATTTAGTCAATGGCCAGCTTGTTCCTTTGCAATGCTTGGAGATACAAGACATCCAGCCCCCGACTCATGCAATACTCCTCTACTAGAGTGTCAATCTATAGTGTAGATTGGTTTTGTAGACACGTAAGTACATACACAGACACACATACGTGCAGTATCTATATCTACACTTAAAAGGTTGGTGGCTCAGATTGTCTTTTTATAATCGTAACGACCACTTACTGCTCTAACAGCTCAAGTTGTATAATGTGAACTTGAGTTGAAACTGGTAGCCATGACAGAGTACCATGGGCTTCTTATGGATACTCGATTATTCTCATTTTAGAGTGTGTTGATTCAGCTTCATTTGAACAAAGCATCAGCCTCATAACTCAGCTAATGTGTCTGACAGTCCGCTTCTGAGTGTCAATGGAACCTTGTTATTGACACTTTTTAAAATATGGAATATTATTATTTCCTTTCTCTGTCAGTGTTGTTATTATTCTGTGTCAGTTACCCAATTCACCCAGGGAAGAAATGTATGAGGCTCCTAGTTGCATTTGCATAAGAAAACATAGGAAATTGTTCTATAAAAGGCAATGTGCACTGGCAACCACTATCCACATTTTCTTTCTTTCTTCACACCTTCCTCGTGGTTGTACTGTCATGAATCCCCAATCATAGTGTGTCGGATTGTCTTTATAACATATTGGGAGCGTGGACCTAAAATAAACCAGCTAGTACCTCATTTTATACTCATTTAAGGGTTTGAAATTAACAATAACATCTAGGCAAATGCTGGTAAAAGCTGTAATGTTACTGACCGACTTTCAAAACATCTTGACTGGTTAAAGATTAAATATCACTTCCAGCTGCAGCAACTAAAACATTAATTCCAAGCCCTTTTCTTGGTATGTAAAGCACAATTTCCCATGAGGTGTCTTCACACTGACCTGTCCACCTACCTAGCCCCCGCTTTAGGCTGGTGCATGTCAGCCCCTAGTTAAAAATGACATTCAGATGTAGATTTAAATATTTATATGAAAAACATCGATGCTCTACTGCTGTTTCAATTGTTCTGGATTTTTACACACCACAAACACATGAATATTTCAGATGCTCTTTAAGCAATATGAAATACATGATGTATGCTTTTGTTTGTTTTGTTTTTGTTTGAAATATTAAAAGATATCCAACCTTGATGCTTTTCAGCTACATGGAAGTTGAGTCTACTGAAGATAGGAACAGGTTTTCTTTCTAATCTCACGAGTTTAGCATATGGCTCATCAGCTGCAATATTTGCCTTTTCTGTAATTATTTCTTCTGAACTTCATCTCTAGTGCTCACCTTATGATTTGAAGTATTTATACTCACACACACACACACACACACACACACACACACACACACACACACACACACACACACACACACACACACACACACGCACACGCACACTTGGCTCAATCTGCACTTGGCCCTGTTCCACCAACCGCCCCTGCATCTCTTGCTTGATATAGTTTTGCCCTTGTGATAAGGCAAACACTTTTCTTGCAAAGGCCATAGCCTACAATATTTTTTTTTATTTCTCTAAAAAGGACACATCGCTTGCATGCATGAACCAACCCCTATGTGTCCCATTGCTGAGTAAGTTTAATACAGTAAGAAATACAGGGTATTTTCTAGGCATGCAAAATTATGAGATTTCTATTATATATGATCAGATAATGTTTTAATAATAAATTATCATTTGTTGAAAGAAAAATTCCTGATTTAAAATCTCCCGCTCCCAAATTTAATATTAAATTGTTTTCTTTTTCTTCTTATAGATGCTTGTCTAATCAATGTATTTATTTTTCACTGTGACAGTTCAGCATCTTATAATGTATTCCATTTGCTACACTATACTTTTGTCATTAGCGAGAGATCATCTTTCATTGCTGGAATGTCATCTGTTGTCTATGTGTTCTTATGGGAATAAACATAATATGGCCGAAAGAACAACATGTTCCTGTTAGATAATGTGTTCATGCATGAGCAAATGTATGAGAGTGTGTAATAATTTGTTCACCTAGCTTTGCAACTGGAGGATCAGAAAGTACCTTGATTTACCACGTGTGACGTTGCTATCAGCTGTAGTGTGACAAAATGAATGGCCATTTCTTAAATAGAACTGTGTCTTTTACATGAGCTACCTAAAAACTGGATTAGTTGTGTATCAAATCATAAAAAAAGACCTTTCATTATCAGCACAGAACAATCTTGTCTTGTACTGAAGCTTGAGGCAAAACCTGCTTCATGCATGCTAGTGGAGCAGATATGAGGGATAACATCAATAACTTTTTACGCCCCCTTTCCTTGCTTAAATTTGAATTAATTATATAAAATTATACAGTGAATGCCTTTCAGAAGCAACCCAAACCCTTCCTGTGCTAAACCCTGAAATCTAACAATAGTTGCCCAAGCCTGTGAAGGAAAAATAACCGATGGTTTCTCATGGATTAACATGATTGCGGATGCTGGAGTCCTCAGGAACTTCTACCAGCATCCCTGAGTCAGCGTTGTGTGTTGCGAGACTACAATTACACAGACACATGCACACACGCATACACACACAGGAAGACACAATCACAGAAAACAGCCGGCAGACTGATTAAGAAGGCCACAGCTTCAGAGAAAACACGGCAGAAGTCACAATGGTAATAGCATTTTTTCAAGGGTACAAGCAGTCATAAAATGAGACATGATGTTTCATTTGATGGCTAGTGTGTCATAGAAAATCACTGAATCACAGCAATGTGCTGTCAAGGCTATTCTTGTCCGAGCTATTACATTTGGGACAGCTGACAGTCCCTGATTCAAATCTGAATAATGTACGATGATGAATATAAGGCGCCATTGATTTGTGCATTGAAATAGGTACCCAAGGCAGGTGCATGTGGGTGAGCATGGGTGTGTGTGAGAAATAAAGAGATAAGGAAGATATAATCACGCATCACAATCACAAGCCAAGAAACACACAATAACACCCACAAACACACAACAAGACGCACAGTTATTCATTTAAGCTTTTGCCAAGTTAGATGTGCCCTTTTAACAATAAGTAACTTATGAAAGGATACGAACAAAGGCAGATAATATTGCTTAAGCTAATGAATGGCCCCCTAAAACAGTATAGCTATACTTCTTTCTTTTATCATGGCAAGCTAATTCTTCCCTTCTCCTTTAAATAATGAATGCATGTGACGAAGAAGGAAGCACATAGGCCATTAACAACTGTGTAGTCCGAATAAAACATCCTGCACAAGAAAGAGAATTATAGACACAGTAAGAAAGAAAAAAAAGCAAGTGGGAGGAATTTGACTCTGGTGCAACACAATAGTGCAAGCTCTTTCCGTATACTTGCTCCATCCTCGGACTCCCCTTATTCTGCTCAAACGACTCCCACACAGATAGAACACACATACAGAAGTGCAATAGGGAGTATTTTTCACAGTATTTTCCACATTTGTCGATGGGTTGCCATGTGATGAAAAGGCAACCTACCTGACCCCATTGTCCACTATTTGGCAACTCTGACTCCCTGCTGCAATTATGTCTTATTAAGCATTCAAATATGCTCTAATGTAATGGTTCCCGTGTCTTCATCCTATTAGAGTTCCCACTGGTAAAAAAGAGGCTTTATGCATGTCATTTGTTTCTCTTCTCTATTCGAAGCTTGTAATATAACACTCCTTGTGCACATGTTCTGGTGACTAGGTTGAGACCTCTTTTGCACGCTCATCTTCATGTGTGTTTCGTGTCCGTGCAAAGCTGCTGTCAAGCAGATGTGGTTTCATTTATACTGCACTTCAGGGTCAGTCGATCTGGTCTTCCATGCTTGCGCTTTTCCCAATCCACACTGACTTCTAGTAAGTTGTTTTCCAGGAGTTTATTGCCAGTTGTATTTCTTAAATGTTGGTAACGGCCAGATTCCCTTGGCGGATATTGTCAAACAACCTCTCTCAAAAAAAAAGTATTAATTTAGTTACCTTCTTCTTTTTCTTGGCAAACCTACGGTGGCCGACAGGTGCACACGCTTTACGGTCCCAGCCGTTTGCATCACTTTTAGTGTCCCGAGGTTTCTGTTGTGTTTTGAGCTTTGTACTTGCAGTGTTTCGTTTAGTCAGCACTTTTAGTAAACCCTGCGCATGTGTTTTCAAAGTGGTGAAGATGTTTCTTCATCTGCATGTGTTTTAGCAAATTAGTTTTTTAATATTTACATTTAAAAGTGCTGCGCGTTTCTCCTAATGAAAGTGTTTTACATGTTTGCACTTCTCGGCCATCGTACGAACCAGCTAGAGGTGCATAAACTGGACTAGAGTATGGAACAAAACTGATGACACTATGTGACGTGCTTCCTTTCAAATGCATACCGTCACAAATGTTGAGCTTCTCTTGGATGGACCCTCGCCAACATGAGGATTTTGAATGTAGTCTGCAAAAAAGTTACAAGACTCCAGGATCCAGCCGTGAACAGGATACACAACCTTATGTAATACAGCTTCGCACAGAGCAAGTGAACCAATCACAAGAAGGTGACGTTCTTCAGTCTGCTGTTTGTTCATGGTGAAAATCAGTTTGGAGCGGTTCATTCAGGGGAAAAAATGTATTAAGAAATATCGGAAATCCGAGTGAAACACAACATAGGATCTGATTTTTCCCAGGGCAGAAACATGACACGCTTCCATACAGCACAACATACAGCCTCAGCACACATTGCTAACACATTTCACAGATCCTGGCTAGAAGTATGAGAAGAGAAAACCAGCACTGGCAAGTCTGTTGGGTTCTGTATAAAAGAAGCGTAATAAAGGATGTCTTTCCAGAGTTCTGAAGGCAGCAGGCAGACAGATGCACAAACACAGAAAGAGAAACCTTTGCCTTTTCCCAGCCAGAGGTCTGTCCTTTGATGTGTTAGGACGATGGCAGCCTTTGATGAAGATTTCTATGGCCACAGAGTGTCTGTGGCTTCGAATTAAGCTTGCTAAGCTTCTGCTGAGAAGCAAAGGCAGGCATCATTTAGAGCATAGGAATATTGTCACATCGCCGCCCTCTGTTCTGTCATTTCTGCTTGTTTTCTTGATTTTCCGGTCATTAACCTCTCCTGTCATTTCAGATACCTGACATTCTCCACAGACCCTGTAGTTCCCTCAGAGTGTTCTTGCTATTACCTGCCACCTGATTAAATAACTCACCAGATCAGCTGTCCCCAATTGCCTGATTAGCTTCCCTGCATATAAACCAGCCTTCTTACTCCAGCAATTTGCCAGATTGAATAACTTGCTGTGAAGTTTTCAGGCTAAATTCAGCCTGCAGGCAAAAGTGGCCAAATCAGATTTGTTTTGCATATATGTGACTCAGATCTGACTTTTTCTCTGAACATCACAGATACCATGAGCACCAACCACAGTATGCTTGCCCTGACACTTTATATGGATGAGCTTTTCCCAGCTCAATCTGACAGCCACAAAGCGAGGATGAAGTGGGTGCATGACACGATTCGTCAGAGCCAACAACACCGTTAAATACATCGTCTTGCCAAAGAGCTAGTATTAAAAGGAGCAGGCCCAATTATGCATTCACACACTGGGGTGACAATTTTGTATTAAATGTGCCTGCTAATGTTATTCTTCTGGAGGCAGAAAGAGGTGAGAGTGAATAAATGAAAATAATGAAACAAACACTAAATTCTAGACAGCGTGTTATGTTACATGTTTGTTATTCTCCACGCATGTAGCTCAGATCAAGACCATGAGCAGTTAATACCGGAATCTGATATTGGCCACATTTAAAAATAATAGTCTTACCAGCCAAACTAAAAATCCAGATCAGAGCATTAAATCCAAAATGAAGACTGAGGCGTACAATGGGAATGTAGCTTAGCGTTCTAGCCTTCATACCTAACCATAGCGTGTTTCCAGTTCTGCTCTTCTGCTTCTTGCTTGCTTTGTTAATCTTTGATTAAGTACCTGTTGCCAAACTCTGCCTTGATCTTCTTACCAAGTAAAAGACTGCTTGCTTTCAACCATCCTGCCTCTGAGTCTTGCTTTTGTGTCCACACGTATGTAAAGAACCATCACAAATACTCAAGGACGTAAACTGAATCCCTGAAACTTTGGTCAACATTTTGCAAATTATTTATATTTGCCTTCTCACCAAGGGTTATAGAAGAAGATAGTAAACACTGATTGTTATGTATGTGTCTCTATGTCTCTACCGTTAATATTAAGCTGATCAGCTGGCTAGCTTAGGAGAATGGAAACAGCTAGCATGGCTCTGTTTGACGATAGCAATATCTGCAACTACTTACAAAGAACAGGCTAGCTTCTTACCCTGTGTTTCAGTGTCTAAGCTAACCTAATCGTCATGTATTGAATAAAGTTATGAGAACATCCCAGAATGAATATCTGTTGTACAGTCTTGCATGTAAAAAGCTCAAAACCCAAAAAGAAACAACAAGGGAAATTAAATATTTTAAATAATTTTCGTCATGTCAGAAACTAATAAGGCTCTCATTTTTGTTGTTATGCTCTGTAAGATAATTACGTCACTGCAGTGTCTTTAAACAATGTACTAGAGTTCAGGCTTAGATGAATTAACAATAACCATTTAGCATCAGTCAGTCATAACTTCATCATTATAACTGAACACAAACAACATTTTAGACTCCTGCATGTGGTGAGTTTGTAATCCAGAAGCTCACTGACTCATCATCATGACACATCACGGTGAGATGCAGCAAACATCGGATGTGGGGGGAAAAAACAAGAGATTATGGTGGAGGTGTGTTTGTGTTTTTGCGTTTTCTTTGCTTTTCTTTTAGTTTGTTAGACAAACAATGGGGATCTGTAGGTTTCAAGGAGGAGCAGGGGTAGAACGTTGAAAAGAAAACATTCAGAAAGTAACTTGGAAGATAACTTTTCCATTTGTTCTAGCTAAATATGAACCCTATCTCAGAGATAGAGAGGATTTGATCAGATGACCCTTTGGTTATTAGCCAGCTTTTGAAACGAGAAATTGTACATCAAACGTTTTTTTATATTAACATTGCATTTAAGTTTGTGGGAAAACAGGAATGCACTTTTGAACTCACGGTGGTTTTAAGCACTCTTGAGAACCTTTTAAATGTGTAGGAGAAAGCAAGTGAAGTCTGTGAGATGTGAAAGATCCCACATCAATGATAGTGATAAATCAATAGTCCAACACAATGGCTCCAAATGAAGGCATCGGTTAGCTTTGTCTGGTAGCTCTGTACTAAAGGAGCACTTTATTCTAACAGGATTTTTAAGCCTCTTCAAGACCTGCTTTATGTGCTGACAGTAGATTTAAACTGTCTGCCATTCAGGAAATATGCAAAGTGTGTATGCAAGTTGAGAGCAATGTAAAGAATGAGCAGACAATAAGGACACATAAATACCTTTGAACGCTTTAAGGCTTTATTGATTCAGTAACAAACTAACCGTCTGAATCAATACCCAAGCCAATAAAGCAGCCCTTCTTTTTCTGAGGAAATCATTCAAATGGAATTATGCAAGGTTATTCATGTTTTATTTACTCCCCGCAGTGAGGGTATAGTGTCTAATGTGGTAGTCGTTGTGTGTATATTGGCGGAAATCACATGAGAAGTGGTTTTACGCGCATGTAATCGAGAAGATGTTGTGCACTGAAAATCTAATAAAACGGAGTTAATTCACTGCATACTGAGCAGTTTACCAGCTTTAATGTAAAAGACAGCATGCAGAGAGATTTGCTCCCTACATTTATCCTTTTATTTCTCTCTTTCTATCCATCTCTCATTGAGTAGATAACCCGCATGGCTCCCTCTCCCTCCTACGCACCAAAACAAAACAGGAAATAGCGCTGTCCGGTTCTATCTGTGGATGATCATCACAAGCACAGACGCAGTTGCAAAACCTGGACCTATACGTCATTAAAATCAATCTAAATGTTTGACGTTGCTTTTGAGAGAATTTGAACACCAGAGTATTTGTCACAGGATCTGAAACAATGAATCAAAAGAAAGCTACCATACGTTCCTTGCTTTGTCATGCAGCTAAAATTGCTCCTCTCCTGTGCCTCTGATGATGGGGAAGATTGCAAAGCATATTTCATTTTCTCCTCAGTCACCAAAATATCACCTTTTTGAGGCTTTTTCTGAAAGTCTGTGATACAGAATACAGCACACTAACAGCTGAGAGAGTAAGTATACCGCCAGCCAAGACTCAGATATGCTCAGATACATTACGCATACCGCCAATCACATCGCTTGTACAGTAGAACTCACTACATCTTCTGAGGTGTTTTGGTTTTGAGAGAAAAATCTTAAATATTTATAGATGCCACATATCCAACCCAGTCTCATGGCATTTCGTGTTCACCAACACGATTTTTAATCTATTGATTCGTGTTCACCAACACGATTTCCCCCTTTTTTTCGTGTTGCACAGCACGATTTTAAAAGCAATGTATTTCTACTGGTAATGACGCTCATGGAAGCACGGCATTCGTTTGTGTCAGCTGCCCTTAAAGGCAATGTGAGCGTCCATTCTCATTGGATAACGGAGAATTGTACACCCGGAAGTAAGTATTCCCCTTACTGTCGATTGATTTTACAGTGATATCTGCACTACTGACCGACTAAAAAACACCAGATTATCCTTGTTAATTACACAACATTGATTGGTTTAAATTGTGTGCAATGCTTTTGTATTTTTCCCCTTCGATTCGGAGAAACAAATATTTTTTCGGAGTAAAGGATGGCAGAAAACACTACACTACCAAGAATCCCCAGCTATCGTTTAGGACTACACCATGTGCTCTGTTTGACAAACCCCGTGATAGTCCTCAAGCTCTGTGATTGGAGAGTGTGCTCCTAGGGTTACCGAGCCTCGAACAGCACTTGAAATGGGATGGAACCACGGCAGACTGTCCAAAACTGGATTTGAACGGGTCCACCGCGTCCCCCCCTCCCCCACCCCGTCCCCAGAACTACACATGCTGGCTATTGTGTTTCGCAACATGTTCTCTATCTATGGCACGTCTCTACTGGGAGTTGTAGTTTTAAAAGACGTTTTCGTATTTCCCATAATAAGAAGTTGCCAGTATTAAACTGTGTACATCCCTGGAGGTTTAGGGGATAGGAAACACTCACATTTAAAACATATAATTAATAAATGGGTGAAAATTGCTTGTGCCCATAATGGGCAGCATTAATATATATACACACATGCCAGCTAAGGTCAGCAGAGCTTTATTTAGCAGCTGGTCTTGTGTTTTTGACCCCTGTTGTTAATTGATAACATTACATTACATTAATTGATAAGCCTGAAACATGCACTTGTCAAGGTTCAGAGGCACATTTTGCAAATATGGCAGTAGCCATCGATCAGCTTAAGATATACTTTATTGATCCCAAGTTGGAACATTTGCGTTACATCAGCATGTGTAACAGTTGTATGCAGTGGTGTTTATTTGTAAATCATTTAGTATAATCACACAAATTCTGTGTTTTATATTTAACAATTCTGTGTTCTTTATTTATTGATTGATTGTTCAATACCTGACAAGGCCGGAGATTAAATATCTACATACATCTTATAAGAGTATAATACATTATGTATAATATCAGTTAAAATAAGTGCTTCAACATAGTTAACATTGCTGGAGGTATGCACAAATATTGATAGATGTCTTGTAATGCACTATTGAGGAACCTGCAACCCAAGTTTTTCATTCAATGCAGAACTACACCATAGTTGTGTGGGCCTATATGATATGTCAATAAACCTTAGAAAATCTTGAAAGGGATGTGCAAAATAGTCATTATATACAGTCTTTAATTAACTATTAGTAGAGAATAACGAGTAATGAATATACTTTATAGGGATCCTATTAATATCTAATAATAAAAATAATGAAATTCAATAACATGCTTTAACCACTAGGTGTCCCTTTATATCAGCTGTGCACCGTTATGGTGTAAATACAGCCTATCTACCAATTGGATCAAATATAAAAGTCAGCCGAATTAGTGTTGATACTGCAAGGAGACGTATTGTGTGAAAAGAAATGTAAGATGTTGTTTAATGGCTGATATATTTATGATCCACGTCACGTTTTCAGTTCCTCATGTTTGTCTAGAAGTCTTCTCATCAGGGCTCTATAAATACAGAACTACGGCAGATATGTAATATTTAATGCAGCCGAACCGTGTATTACAATGCCGGGATGTGATGACTTTCAAAGAGAAAAGCAAGCACACTCGGAATAAAGTATTATATTTTTTTTTTTAATGTTTTCGGTCTGTTTCCGGTATTTGTTAATGACGATGTGCTGTGAGATGTGAGACTGGAATTGCACAGGGGAAAATAACGTATCTTTAGATGCGGATTTTGTTAAACTAATATGTTTGCGCTGTGGAACAACACTATACATTGACAGGGAAGGGGGTAGCAATAAAGATAACACCATTAAACAGTTACACAACATAACAGAAATAATATCGATAGCAGCGTCCCTAGCAACCACCTTGGTAACAATGAAAACTTCCTGAAGTAATCTTCGTAATAACTAGCAAACTAAAGATCATGTACATCCACTGCACACATAATCTGAAATAACAACTCATATTTCTCGCATCAAATGACATCAAAACGCATTTTAATGGCCAAAATAACTGTAAATAGCCTAGGCATTTTCCACCAAGAATAAAACGAAGTTCGGCCATGTTTTTTTTTTCTGCAGGGAGAAATTTGAAGATCACGTGACATAGACGCCAGCCATTGGAATGAATGGTGAAAAAAAACGGGGTTTGTCAAACAGAGCACATGGTGTAGTCCAAACGATAGCTGGGGATTCTGGGTAGTGTAGTGTCTTCTGCCATCCTTTACTCCGAAAAAATATTTGTTTCTCCGAATCGAAGGGGAAAAATACAAAAGCATTGCACACAATTTAAACCAATCAATGTTGTGTAATTAACAAGGATAATCTGGTGTTTTTTAGTCGATGAGTAGTGCAGATATCACTGTA